GGAAGGGACCCTACGGATCATCAAGTCCACCCCCTGCCAAGGAGGCCCGGGGGGATTCAAACTCCCAACCTTCTGGCTCTGCAGTTGGATACCTAAGCCACTGAGCTATCCAGCAACCCACTTAAGCATTTTGTTGACAAAAGTAACTTATTAGCCTTTATTTATCAACCAGTGTGAGATAAGAGCACTACAGGATTTGTTTATCTGTCCTAAGTCCTGCTCTGGACCATATTCTGTTCAATTCCAGATGCTGCCCACACGGTGGGGTGAGCAAGGATATGGTCAAAGGAGGGCATTGAAGATGGTTCGGTTGATGTAGCATCAATTGTTAAAATTCAGTTTTAGTATCATTTATTAATATATTATATTTATATGTTGCTTCATACAGCTGAAAGAAGTGGCAATGTGATTGATAAAAAATGTATCAGAGCTGAAACGTCTCGCACAGAATGAGTTCTGGGGGTATTTTCGGATAGCCCAAAGGAGCATCATTTCAAAACGCCTGGATCTGAGGAGTCCTCTGAGCCAGAAATTGAGGTAAAAACAACTCTCTCTATAGTACAACCAGTCTCAACCCGTGACAGAGGTGCAGACTGGCAGGGACTTCTGACATACAATGTGGGGACACAGTCCACACTGCACAATACACGTGTGTGTGTGTGTGTGTGTGTGTGTGTGTGTGTGTGTGTGTGTGTGTGTGTGTGTGTGTGTGTGTGTTGGGGGGGAGCACTTCACATTTCCCTGCAGGTAGCAGGTGAGCTTGCCAACTTATACAACGGAGCCCACACGTCTCTGCTGCTCAAAAGAACAGGGCTAGATTTGACTGGCTTAAACTGCCAAGGAAGGAAGCTGCTCACTGGAAGGACAGATCCTGAAGCTGAGGCTCCAAGCCTTTAGCCACCTCATGAAAAGAGAAGACTCCTTGGAAAAGAACCTGATATTGGGAAAGAGTGAAGGCAAGAGGAGAAGGGGACGACAGAGGACGAGATGGATGGACAGGGTCACCGAAGCGACCAACATGAACCTGACCCAACTCCGGGAGGCAGTGGAAGACAGGAGGGCCTGGCGTGCTCTGGTCCATGGGGTCACGAAGAGTCGGAAATGACTTAATGACTAAACAACAACAAAACAACAACAAAAGCTGCCAAGGGAGAGATCACAACCGCTTCCAGCCATAGGAACTCTTCTCTGGGTGGGTTTTGACTGGTCTCACACCAGTGGCCTTCGGCCGGAAGGTGGTCAACTCTCTGTTGAGGATGTTCTCCTTGGCGTATTCTAGCATACCAAACTATTACTACTGCTACTTGACTTCACATGTTTTTGTCCAGATAATATACATTAGCTACTCTAGCCACATAGGTGTCATGATACTATATCCCCTTATAGGTCAAGCAACCTTGAACCAGGCGATAATGACAAATGATGACAGCCTGTATTCCAAGAGAGGTGACCTTCTTAGCAAGAATCTGCAGGTCATCTCCAAAAATATGATTTTGGCAACTTCCCCCATCCCATTTTAACCTCCAGTCCTATGGTTTCAGATTCCAGTTTCATAAAATACTTGAACAAATAGGCTTATTAACATAAATCTCAAAGGCAAGATGTACACATGATGTATTTATTTATTTTTAAATGGTCTAATGCATCTCAAAAGCCCAACAGAAAGGTTATATCATTGTGTGGGAACTTGTTGGTTGGGGAGCTTTAAGAATTAGGGTCCCAAAGATAACTTTTTCTGAGCTCTGCCTAGAGATCTGCCTTGGTCTGTTTTTGTAGCCTTGCTCTGTGTGGTGCAACCTTGAATTAATCTTTGATAGTGAATTTGGTGGCTAGTGGTGAATGCATAGACTTTGCACTGCTCTACATTTCCTGCCTTAAAGGCTTGGGAGCTGATAGGGTGTGGCAGAGAGAATGATAGACAAGATCTCAAGAGACCTGGGTTCAAATCCCTGCCCAGCTATGGAAACTCATAAGTGACAGGAGGTAGTCATTTTTACTCGTTCGTTCGTTCGTTCGTTCATTCGTTCGTTCGTTCGTTCGTTCGTTCGACTTCTACCCTGCCCATATAGACCAAAGGTCTACTCTGGGTGGCATTATACATTTCTAAAAACAGTGAAACCAATAGATGTATACTATGAATCCAAGATGTCAAAAATATCAAAATTTAAGATACGGCAGGAGGGAAAGCCTGCCCAAATAGCCAGGTCTTTACTCCTGAAAACAACCCGAGAAGGAGCCAGGCAGATCTCCACGGGCAAGTTGTTCCAGAGGCCAATTATAGTTGATTAATCAAGTTATGGTTGCTTAAGTGCTGAGAATTCTTGTGTAGAGATGTCCTGATCTTCCTCCTCCCACAGCACCACAGCTCCCAGGGTAAATCTAGTTTAAAGTCTACTGTGTGAATTGCCAAAAATCTCCTGCAAAAAACCTCTGTGATGAGGTGATGACATTGCTGGGAGTGGGGGGGATAGTAATGAAAGACTGCCTCCTTCTTTTCCACAGCTTCTCCAACTTGAATGTAATCTGTTTTATTGCATAGATGTGGGAGCTGTGGGATGAAAGGAGGAAGTCTTTAATTACTGAAAAATCTCTGCTACTGTATGATGTTACCAGCAAAGAGAGATTTTCAGTAATTAAAGACTTCCTCCTTATGTCCTGGGGCTTCCACAGCTTCCACACAATGAAACGGATTACATACGAGTGTGATAAGCCACAGGACAGAAGAATGTATTTCATTACTGAAAATCTTCTCATTCCAGTGACATCATCACACTTCCACAGGCTTAACATGAGTGATGATTTTGGCTATTATCTTATATCAGCCAATGGTCCATACTATGGTATGGTCAGCTCTCTTAGAAGGAAATTGGGTGGAAGTCTTGGCAAAGTTCAGACACCGTCACCGTCAAATCTCCATGGTTTATCTCACATCCCTCCACTGGCCTCGTGCTTTCAAAAAAAGCGGAGATTTTTACCAGGTCTAAATAGTTCTTACCCATAATTGTAGATACCACAGTGCTTCTAACACATGTTTGAAAATGCAATATGCTTCCACAGTTTATACGTTTAAAAAAAATCACCACGCCATGCAAGAAAAGAGCTTTATTGTTTGCTGTGTATTTACATTTTGCTCTCAAATGGTTATTTCTTTATACGGTATAGGACTTCCTCGGAGTGCACTGTGGAAAGTAAGCAGTGCGCCCACCGGCCTCGAGTGCCACAATTCAGTAAAACTGCGGTTTGCCCTGCAGCTGCCTGTTCACGTTGGCCATGTGCATCAGTTTGAGAAGGAGATCTCCCGCCGAGCCGTCCAGCACAGTCAGATTCTTTTCCACCGACATCCGGCTTCTGTCGCCGCTTTCATCCACGCATGTAGCATCGGCGGTGCAGCTCTCTTCGGAAAGAAGTGAGAAAAAGTAAGGACATTAATTGAAACATCTTTCGGTTAGTTGTAGACAGTCTCTGGAGCGATATTCGTTTGACCACCGCTTGCCAAATTTGAGGTTGCAGTCCCAAGAGGTAACCTTTCTGCAATTGAGCCACATTAAGTTTTCTTTTACACACTTCAGCATCTCGAAATTGCATTATCGTCTGATCACCGCCCAAGTCAACATGACCCAGTAATTCTGGGAAAGTTGCCAGAGCTTCTGCTCCTGTGCCGCTAACACCCACTTTGCCCGCGATGGGGCTTCTTTCTTTGCTATGAAAAGGACCGGCTCTTAAGTTAGATCATATCAAGGGAAATGTGTGTAGAAGCCACTGCCAGAACTTACAATTTATGGGCTCAGTTTTTAATTTGTGGTTACATGCGGTCAAGTCTCCCCTGATTTATGACAACCCTATGAATCTCCAGCATGTTCTGTCTTCCAATGCCTTGCTCAGCTCTTGCAAACCCAAGCCTGTGGCTTCCTTTAGGGAATCAGTCCATCTCGTATTTAGTCTTCCTCTTTTCCTGCTGCCTTCCACTTTTCCTAGCATTATTGTCTTTTCCAGAGAATCCTACCTTCTCTTTTTGTACCTAAAACAGGTGCGTACTGTACGCAGAATAGGACAGCCTCGGTTTCAACATTTTAGCCTCCAGAGAGAGTTCAGGCTTGATTTGATCTAAGACCCATTTGCTTGTATACGTAAAGTTAATTAATTAATTAACTGAAGTTAAACATGGGAAAGCAATCATTACGGAAGAAGCTACTTGGATGAAACATTTCAACCTACGAAGAAAGAGGTCCAGTTGCCAGGACTCAACTTCTGGAGAACCATCACCATAAAGTATTAAATTGGAAAAGGTTTAACTCATTATATTAACATGGTGAATGTGTTTATTTGTGTTTCCAAGTTATAACCCCAACGTGCATTCAGACATGGAGAGAAGCAACCAGTCAGAGGTAACTGCTGGAATTTCAAACTGAAGGGTTAAATAATGAATTGTTAGGGTCAATCCACAAAAAGTAAAAAGATGTTCAGTTTTAAATGGTATTTTTAAAGTGTATTTAAATCAAAGTATTAGGTAGGAAAGAAATCGATTGAGCTCATGGATGACAAGAAGGGATATAAATGCAGATAAATAAAAATACAATCACTTTTTTTTAAAAGTCACTCCAAATTCATCATTTTTTCTTGTTTCTCTTCCTTCCCTTCCACCCTCCTTGTTCTCTCTGTTTCTTTCTCCCAATGTTGATTTACCGTCATTGCAGCAAATGCCCGAAGCAGCACACCTTCCTCCTGCGCTGCAAGGTTTTCCTCCAGCCTCACACGGGGAAGGCAGGTAATTTTCCTCCAGGCAACGCAGGGTTTCGGAAGTGCCGAAGTAGCACCCCATCTCCTCTCCGCAACAGATGCTGGGGCCAAAACAGTTCCCTTTGTTTCCGGGACCGCAGGGGATACACTAACCAGAAAAGAGGCAGAAGTGGAACACAAAGGAAAGCATGAGGTTCAGCTCAAGCAATATAACTTACAAATGCAGGAATAGATGGCATTTTAGGCTGGCAGAAGGGAGCACGCTAAGGATAAGCGGATGGCTCTCAGGTAGGAATCATTCTGCTGGCGACTTGTAATTGGGTGAAACAACACAGAAACATTACATGCATTGCTTCGAGAAATCCGTGCAGGATTAGTGCAGGAGGAAGTGGCCTAAACTCGTTTCGGAAGCCTCTCGTGCTTTCATCAAGGAGGACACCCCATTTGATACTCACCCTAAGAAAGGGAAACCAGAACTGTAATGCCATCTGAGAAGGAGGAGGAAAGAGGAATTTGCACATCAGCCAGGGCTGACTTAGAAGGAGCAAGAGGGGATAAGATGCCTGCCAGCCCACTTGGGAAAGAAGGATGAAGCGTTGAAAGATAGAAATGTGAAAAGCTGTAAGTGCATTGGCTCTCTCTCCCTCTTTTCCTCTCTCACCATAATTGCCCTTCTGAGGAGTTGAAGGGGCCTCAAACGGATAGCATCGCCCAGTGGGAAGCTGATGAACCAAGGCCACAGTCCATACAACATTCAGCAGAGCGAGAAAAATAGGACTCAGCAAAGAGAACATTATGAATAGATATTAAGAATTAACCCCTTCCTGGAGAGGCATCTCGGTTTGTTGCAGAATCCTTGAAGGATCTGACTTTCACTGTAGGCATTCTAAAATATTGCCACCTGAAAAGCTGTAAGCAGTGTCACACAATTTCCGCCATTGATCCTGCACAGATATATTTTTTTAAACAAAGAAATGAGCTGAGACAAAATGTGTGGCAGCAGATCTGCTTTTTTATGACCAGGGTATTTGCTACTCCCAGCCAAAATACTGCATTTTTGTATTTTTGCCAAGCCACGAGACAAAGAAGCAGAAAGTCTGCTTCTGACTTCCTGGCTTGTCGGCAAAGGCACAAACAGACATTACAGATAGCCCACGATTTGCAAAGTGACTTCCTTAATTGCTGAAAGCCTTTGAGTGCGGGAGCTGTGCTCATCTCATTTAATGTGCACCTCAGCATGCTTTGTCTTGTGATTAAACATAAGCATGGGATCCCTTTGAAGTCTGATTTCTGCCCAAATCACATCTCTCCAACAGTAACGTGCTTCCAGATCTCAGGATGACACACAACCTGGAATGTCTCTCTCTTTTTTTTTTTTACTGAAACCAACCCTGCATAAGGAGAGGGATATCAGAATTGTCCAGTGTTCAGGAAATACAAGCAAGGTAACTGAAACACTATCCCTAGCTCTGGCCTCATTATTGACCCTCAAAGTACAGGAATTCCCACATTGCCAGGATGTACCTCAATATTAAACCTGCACACTTTTTTTTAAAAAAAATAAATTTTGTCCGGCTGGATGAGGGGAAATAACGATGAAGCGTTGAAAAGAGAAAAAACGTGAAAAGCAGTTTTGCTCTCTTTCACACACAGAACAGCCAACAAGTCTCTCCCTCTCTGTCTCCTCCCTCCTCCCTCGCCCGACCACTCATGCCCGTGCTACCTGTCTGATTTCGGTGTCCGGATAAGCTCTCTTTCCTCCCCGAGGACAGTTCTGAATGTAACAGGCTGAAGTCAAGGCAAGAAGGCAGAGGAAGTAGCCTGGAAAAGACATCGTAAGCAGGTGCTTGGGTGTGCAAGGCTAGTCCTCCTGCTGCCTCCTGTTCGGTGCATCTGGCTCCAGACTGAACGGCCCACCTATTTATACCCTCCACACCTCATCTTTTGCATCCACAACGTAATGTCACCAGAGCCCCATCCCCTGGGTGTTTATTCCGCGATGCCACCCCAACCTGGACTTAAATCAAGGACCATAATTGAGCCAATTTGGTGCAAAGACTGAAACTCAGGTCCCCAGGCTTATTCTTCCTCGTCAAAGGATTATTTTTGATGCTTGCATCATAATAAATTTGAGTAGGATGGATTGCAGGGAGTGATTGTGTGTGTGTGGGGGAGCTATTTGGCCTGGGGTAATGAGAAAATTTAAAGAGTCCTTCTGTAGCTTTTTCTCTGTCCATGTGCACAAAGCTTATCCCCTTAGAATCCCCAGGTGGACAGAAGATTCTGCGTAGTTTGAGTAACCTTTGTGACCCCCCCTACGCCACGCCTCTGGTTGACTTGTGGCATGATTTTGGTGGCTTGATCCACTCGGGATTTCCACTAGCCCCTCTCTTCACTTGGGCAACATCTGTCGGATGACACTGTTCTTGGTAGAAATTTAGGATGGCTTCATACACAGGTGACCAATATGTTAATAGAGATTACCATCCACCTCATAACCCCCGTTTTCCTAAAAAATACTATTTTATTTCTATCCAGCCTTTCTCCCAGTGAAGAGATGCAAAGCATTGTACAACAGCTAAAAAGTACATATGCTTAAGAACACGACAAGCATCTTGAAACACAATTATGCTGTGCAGCCAAGCCGTTTCCTGAGTTTTTGATTGTTCCTTATGTCACTCAAATCTCACCTTTATTTCAAATTAGTTTCTCAAGCAGCTCAATTGCAGGGTGGAATAAAAATCCCCCAAGCAGTCGGATTTCCAAGCATCTTTTCTGTGTCACCTTTTGCCTCTGGATTCTGCCTCCAGTGGACTCTTGGTACCATCTCATCTCTTGCCACAGGTGCTAAGGGCCACTGACACTTGTCATGCAGAAGAAGAGTCCTCTGTTTGAAAGGCTGTTCTGGTCCAAGACCAGACTGAAGGTGGAAAACCATAAGAAATGAAAGCAAGGGGTTTTTATATTGCTGGCCATCAACAGGTAACACCTGGACAGATTATTAAGCAGGTATTAGTAGGCATCCTTCAGTCTCGAGAGACTATGGTAATGTGCTCTGAATAGAGGTCTTGGAACAGCATCTAGTGTGGCTGAGAAGGCCAATTCGAGAGTGACCGTCCCTTCCACACTGAAGACAAATATAATCTGTCCCTTGTCCAGCTCCCTGGTTTTGCTGGTTTGGTGATTGCCTCTTTAAGCAGGTAAGGAGTCACCTAAAATCATGGACTGAAATCACAGTGTTTAGTTAGCCGCACTAGTGTGACACCAAGCAACAGGATTTCATCCAGGGTCTTCCAACTGTGTAAACACGTACTGCATTTTTAAATTTCAGTTCTAGTAACTGAAGGGGATCCAAGCAATTATACTTAGACTCATCAAAGGTTGGTAGGACAGCTCATTCAGTTTGATTTCTCTCTGTGTCTTCCGGGAGAAGAACCATCTTGTGTGCGATCCTGGTTAAGGTACATAGTGCCAGAGTGCCACCACAAGGAGGAAATGGGGAACGACTTCTAACTATGGTACGTTATAGCTAGAAAAACCCTGAGAACAGTGGCCTTAAGTCAGAATCGATTTAATGGCAAGCAACTAACGATGTTGTTGTTTAGTCGTTCAGTCGTATCCGACTCTTCTTGACCCCATGGACCAGAGCATGCCAGACCCTCCTGTCTTCCATTGCCTCCTGGAGTTGGGTCAAAGTCATGTTGGTCGCGTTGATGACATTGTCCAACCATCTTGTCCTCTGTCGTCCCCTTCTCCTCTTGCTTTCATGTTTTCCCAACATCAGGGTCTTTTCCAGGGAGTCTTCCCTTCTCATGAGATGGCCAAAGGGTTGAGCCTCGGCTTCAGGATCTGTCCTTCCAGTGAACATTCAGGGTTGGTTTCTTTGAAAATGGATAGTTTTGTTCTCTTTGCAGTCCAGAGGACTCTCACAAGCCTCCTCCAGCACCACAACTAACATTAGACTTATCCAAATCAGCCGGATCCCAGCGACTTGTTACTAACATTTGTGCCAATGCAAGTTTGTTTGTTTAGACTCTCACGAGCCTCCTCCAGCACCACAACTAACGTTTGTGCCAATGCAAGTTTGTTTGTTTGTTTAGTTAGTTATTGAACTTTATATCCCACTTTCCCCTTCCTTTTGCATGTGAAAGGTAGACAGCTTCCATAGCTCCTGTTCATGACTGATTTTATTTAAAATGACACCTACTTTAGGTTTTTGGCAACAAACAAGCAAACATGACATCACTAAAGCTGCTGTAAATTATTTCATTTATTGATTTATTTGCAGCCTGCTCTGTATCACAAGATCTGAGTGGGTTACAAAACTATTTTAAAATGTAAGATCTTTTCAACTATATAAAACCCAACAGTTTTTAAAACACATAAAATTAAAACATGAAAACGATTGCATTAAAACTTCACAGGTCAAGATCTCGGTTCCCAAAGGCTGTGATAAATATATCAATATTTTGACCTGGTGTGGGAGTGATGCCCATGATTCAAGTCTTAATCTGTGAATGGTTTGACGGTCCAAAGCAGAAACTGTGTGCTCTCCATATCATGGCATGTGTAAGCCTCCAAACTGGCAAGCATCAGAGCGTCCTTCTGGTTTTGTGGGGGTTTGTTTTGGGGGGAGGGGGTCTTTGCATAAGGTTCACAATAATAATCATTTTAAAAAACAGTTGTATTTCTGCAGCTTCTGCATTAAAGAAGAAGACAGACTTTTCTGGTTCAAATGTTGTCTTGCTTTTGCTTAAAAGGCTCACAGAACTGCAGAGCTGGAAGGGAAGCCTAGAGGTCATCAAGCCTAACCCTCTGCTGAAGCAGGAGAGTCGCCCCCTGGCTTTACTTTGCCATCTGTGGAATGGGCATACACCATACTTGAAAAGTGACATGGCAGAGGTGGGAAAGGGTGAAGAAAAGGGCAGCAAACTTGATCAAGGAACCAAAGCAATTCCCCCATGAGAAAAAGAGTGAGGTGTTTGGGATTGCTTAGTTTAGGAAGGAAGAGACTATGGGGAGACATAAGAACATAAGAAGAAGGGCCCTGCTGGATCAGGCCAAGGTCCCCTCTAGTCCAGCTTCCTGCATCTCCCAGTGGCCCCCACCAGATGCCTCTGGGAGCCCACGAGACCACTAGATATAACTGTCTCCTGATACCCCACCCCTGCATCTGGCATTTTGCGGTACCTTCCTTTTAAGCCCGGAGATTATAGATCCCCATCATGTCTTGTCACCTGCAATGGCCTTTGCCTCCAGGAACCTGTCTAATCCCCTTTTCAAGGCCTCTAGGCCAGATGCCATCACCACCTCCTGTGGCAAGGAGTTCCACAGACTCACAATATGCTGGGTCAATAAATCTTTTCTTTGGTCCGTTCTCACTCTCCCAACCCTCCATTGGAGCGGATGTCCAATGGAGTGGCCCCTTCGCTGGGCATTTTCAAATGCCAACTGAAAACGTGGCCATTTAGGCAAGCCTTCCCTCCAGCCACCTCTCGATTTATTTTGTTCTCTCACCTTGAGTCTTTGTCTATTGATATATTATTTGCACCATATTTTAAATGGTCTATTTTATATGCTGTT